TCTGAACAGGAACACCAAGGGTACTCTGAAAATACAAGACTTATTTAGATCTATCTTTTCTCCTCTGACAGTTAAACCAGAAAGTGTTGTATCATTGTATCTCTTTCCTGCGTTTCTGGTAATTTTAAACTCTACATGAGAGAATACAGTTAGGTCTATTAATTTTCTCTGATTTAAAGGAAATAATTTATGAACACGTTTGGTTTATTTTTGGAGAAAACGGAATACCTGTACAAGAAGGGGAAAAAAATATGCGTCTTTTGGTTACGGTGTTCGTAAGTGTGTCTGAGTTATGTTCGTATATATATAAAATGTATGAGTGCATGTGTTTGTTTTGTCGAATGCCATCAGTCACTGTCCTCTCCATTATTCTTTTTTTTTTTTTACCAATATAACTTAACCATACACAACTGGGCTGAAAGCCTTCTTGGCAATCAACAGTTGACGGTGGGAATGTCTTCAATTAATATTCCTGCCAGATATCTTCAAAAACTTTATGAGAAAGTCTACTAACTCTCACATCCTAACGTTTACTTGAAAGTGTAGTTGTTGATTTAATTAATTTTTTGTGCAACTATTATCACTATTGCTTTATATGTGCCCAGTATTCATGGATTTAAAGTTAATTCCTTGGAGTGACAACTGATTCGTTGTTGTAAGGTTTGAATTAATAATATGCTCCCCCCACCCACTCCCACGGACCCATTCCCCTCCTTTTTCTCATTAACACACACATCCCTGGGATACTTTGCTCTCTTTTTAAAAAAATCTCTTTTTCATTGCTGTCTAAATTCCGCATTGTTGGTATGTCTGCTGTCTGTCTGCCTGTCTGCATTTCTGCCTGTTTCAAGTCTGTGTCTCTTTCTCTATTAATTTTCTCTATCTCTCTATCTGTCTCTCTCCCCCCCCTCTCTCTCTCTCTCTCTCTCTCTTTCTCTCTCTCTCTTTCTTATATCTACCTATCAATCTATTTATCTATCTGTCTATCCACCTATCTATCTATCTATTTATCTATCTATCTATCTATCTATCTATCT